GTCTTGGCCATAAAAAGCCTGACAATTCATTGAGGGAATTCACAGAGGGAAGAACAGAGCATAGTGCATTCAGTGTGAATGGGTGGTGACCCCCAGAGTTTCTCATACTGGTCTCTAACTTGGCAGCCTGTAATCTTCCTGCCAAGGGATGCTCCTTTTCCTCTCCAAAATATCTGCCTGCTTGACTTAACAAACCATTGCCATGTGGTTCCAGCTGGGAGAGTGGAGGGGAGGCAAGGACTCTTTCAGCCTGCGGGCAAGCTCACTCTTACGGATCACTGAGTCTGTAAAATGTGTTTGCTAATGTTAATTACAAAGTCGTTAACTTTATAGCTATTGCATGCACGTCTCATCAGCCTTGGGTGTGGAAGCTGCCCAGGGAGAGATTTCTAGCTGAATGTGCAGCTGTGTAAAATTGGACAAGGGCTTTGAGTCAGCACAGCCCACCTCTTTTGCAAGACCCCTTTTCAATGAGGGAGAATTAATGTGTTTTGGATGCTTCTGCTGCTGTACTGGTCGATGAGTACTACTGGCAAAATGGCCAAGGAGTGTCAAAACCTTAAGGATGTGAAGGCAGTGATCTGACTACTTATCCACTTCAGGGTTTGATATTACTACCCATTGTTCTGTGTAAAATCCATTTTAGATGATTCATGGGGACTTTAAGTCTTTGGTCCTCCTCCTTCTTTGGGAGTAAAATTCTGCTTAGGGAAGAATTCATTGCTCATTTGTTTGGAGACTTGATAGCTGTAGAGATGTGTTGGTATTGGGGAATATGATACTGTGGGAGGCTTTCTTGGAGGAGAAAACTGCTCTTCAGTGCCAAAAGACAGTAGTGTGCATCATTTGGGCTTTCCTAGTTGTACGTTGCTGAGAATATTTTATCCCTAGCACCCAGCTGCCTCCTTCTGGGCCCCCTGTAACTGTGTTGTCCCAAACGCAGCTGGACTCATTGGTCAGAAGTGCTATGTAGTCTTTGTTGCTGAGGATGGAGCCCTTCTTTACTTTGCAGTCTAAGGCCAAGACCTTAAAATAGAAGATCTTGAGAGGAGGCCTAGAGGGATGACAGAGAAGGCATTTTAAAACAGTTGGAGTCCGTGCTTCATCTTCCTGTTCAACTTAGGGTAGAGGAAATGGGTGAGGAAAGCAGACTCTGGGTTGGTGGTCAGCCCTCCTCTGTGAAGAAGGGAAGACCATCGCTACAAAGGTGGAGAGGGTGGAATGCACTTGGGAAAATGAGTGCCACTTGGCCAAGCAGTATGGCTTGGGGTTCCTGAACCTTGGGGGGCCAAGCTCTGTCAGTAAGGCTTGACCATATAGTTAGTGAGGAAGGCTGACAATACGGTCAGGTCAGAGCCGGAAGTTTTTTCTGTCGAAGTCGCTCTGTAAGTAGTTGGCTGAGTATGAAGAGGAAGTCTGGAGTGAGAAGTCTTCCAGTCCTTCTTTTCTACTCACCATCATAGGATGTCTTGTGAAAGCATAAATCCTTTTGGTGACTTTTAATTTCACATCTGATTAATTTTAAATGTTTACTCATTTAAATTATTGTGCGTAATGCTCTCTGACCTGTATTTGAGGGAGCAGCAAGGTCATGCCAGGAGGGATTTTTAGACATGGGTCTGACCTCACATCAGGTGTTTCAGTTCCACCAAAGGGTCAATGCTGTTGTGACAGTGGAGACTTCATTCGTGATTGTGCTGTGAATGCTAAAAATGCACATGGGTTCAAGAGGAGACTGGGTGAATTAGTGGAAGACAGATCTGTAAGGGATATTACATACCATGGCAGTATGTCTGCTGCAGAAAGCCCTTAAGCTGTGAGGCTGGGAGGGTGTTTTGGGGAAGTATTGTGCTATGCTTGTCGTCATCTTGTGCTCTTCTGTGGACTGAACCAAACGTTGTATGTGTGTATGCTGCAAATATGCAGCTCTTGTTGCTTTTAATGCTAGCTGAGTGGTTAAGATGGCTTCGTGTTTGGCTGTACTAATGATTATTTAAGAGAAGTGTAGATGTAGAGAATTGAAAAGACCTAAACACTTCTGGTAAAGGAAGTGGTGTTTGCACTGTGTGCTTGATTGTGAATATCAACAGCATTCCAATGTTTCCTGTTTCAGTATTTTCCTTAATGATGGTAACAGTCCAAAAATATTTCAGATCAGATTGTAGGCAGGAAATCTAGGCTAACACATGTCACCATTAAAAATGGATCCAATTGCTAGCTGAAGAAAGCATGCCTGGTCTGCTTTTTCACCCAAAGGTGCAGATCTTAGTTAATTTCCTAAGATTTAAAGCACAGCCACAAATTGCTTTCTCTGTATATGCTTTTTGAAGCGGCACTGCCAGGTGCTTTGCTGTTTTCTGTGTGAATGGAGTTAAAAGGTCTATTTTCTGCCTCGAAAGTGGGTGCTCAACAATGTTGGCACATACACTAAATTCCTGCT